ATGGCTGCATAATATTCCATGGTGTATATGTGCCACATTTTCCCTGTTTACAATAGCAAAGACCTGGAACCAACCCAAATAGTGTTTATTTCTAGGTAGTAAGATTATAAAACTTTTCTCTTTATTCTTTAACACTCATATAATTCTAAAATTTCTACAATGAATATATATTATTTTAAAATCAGAAAAAAGCACTTATCTGAAAATATAAATCTCCTATCTTTAAATAACCATAGATAAGAAAGAACACTTACATTTTAGAGTATTTTGTCAATATTTAACAAAATATTAATTACAAATTTTGTAATTTCCCTTGCATCCCACTTTTACAAATATATTCTCCCCAAAAATGAGTGCATCAGAAAGTATGCCCACGAGGTCTGCTGCAGCTATGTTTAAAGTATGAAAAAGTTGAAAACAATGCTAAATTACCAGAATAAGAGACTGAATAACTACATTGTGGGGCTTGCATATGGAGACTTCTATGGGACTGATGAAAGAATGAACTAAATATACACTAACAGAAGAAGATATCTAAGATAAATTTTGCAATAACAAAAACATTTAAGAGAATATTTTGTATAACAGCTATATTTCTATTTTTAAATGAATGAATATCTTATGCATTATGTGTGCATAGAATAAAATGTGTGCATATAAATTATATATATATACACACACACACATATATATATTACATATATGATGTCCCATATACGATTCTGTATATATGGGAAAACATCTAGAAAAATATATAATAAATCGCTTATAGCATTTGCTGTGGGCAATGATGTTAAGGGTTTGAGGTTCATACTTTTTATTTTACATACTTCTGTACTCTGATATTTTATCAAAATTCATGAATTACTTTTACAATAATACACTAATAAAGTTTACTCAAAGGAAAATATTAACTAATATCCTCACACTAGCAAATCTCCCCACAAGCAGGTTTTGAAAATATGAAATATAGCTATTCCTCAAAATTTATTGATTCCAATAGATTATACATGTAACAAAATGGGTTTGCAATAAAACAAGAACCAAAACTCTACATACAACTTATTCCGAACACAAGAAGAAAAATGAGGGATATATATATATATAACACTTATATAATCCATCAAACATAGTTAAAAATCCATTGGCTCTTGATATATCAGTATTTATTACAACTGCTATTTCTCAACACTAGTAAAAACAGCTTTAAAAGAGGCTTTAAAGGAAAAGTTTGTGCAGAAATCTCCCAGATGAGCAGTGATATTCCACATAGCATAAGATAAACAGCATAAGAGAAATAGACTGGTATAAATTATATTTAGTTTTAAGCTGAACAATAGCAACACTTCACTCAAGACCCACAATAGCATATTAAAGTCTACCTTACAAAGATATATCTTAATGACAGATTCATTAATTCCACTTTTATTTAGCATTTAGTATGTACTTGGGATTATACTGGGAACTTGAAAAATTCACAGAATAAAGTGTATGAGAATGTCTACTCCACTGACCCCATGCTCCCAAAGTGAGATAAGTTATAAATCTTGAATTAATAATAGAGAAAAGCATGGAAGTTGTGGAAGCAAAGAGAAAAAGAGAGAATGAATTCATTGAGGAGTGTGATATTTTGGACTGGGCTTTTAAATGAGGATAATAGAGCTGGTAAGGCCATCCTCTAGTAAGCAGCAAACAGTCAGATGTGGGTAAAGCAGAATATCCAATTTAGTTTGAATCTGAGGGATAATGACTCTGATGCATGTCCTGTCTAAAATACAAGCCTAATCACCACATCACAGCTGCCAAAATAAAGCGCAGCATTCTCAGATGGAGTACTTTATGAAGTGCAGAATAAGCACAGACACCCTACCCAACTTCACACTCTACACAGCAGCCAGGGCCAGTTAAAAAGGATTTATCCTGGACAGGGATCTCAATCACGTTGTTCTTCAGTTATTTGACCAAACTGACTGCTTCTCTCTGCCTGAGGAGTTACTGCCAGAGCATCTCCTCTGAAAATACATTAGCTGGCAACAGACTGGCTCCAAAACACCTGAGCTTCAAAAACTCAAGTACCAAGAAACCCAAGAGTGTCCCCTTGGGCTCCATCACCACGTAGAACCGCTGCCAAACTACAGAGCCATCCTTGACAATTTATATTTACATACAAAGGGCGAGACAATTTTAGTTACAAGGCTATATAGCTACCTGTTGTTACTAGAACAAATTCAAAAGAAAATTTTTTAAAATTATAGTATGAAAAATAGTTTACATTCTTGCTAATATTTCAAAAACATACGAAGCCTCTTGCATGGTATAAATTACCAGCAAATGGGTACTACTTGACAGCAATGAACTCAACCTTTGTGAATTAACGCATCTTAATTTAATATTCACAAGTACAGTGAGGCTAAATGTGTATTCCACTCCTGGATCAAGTAAACCAAATGCAATACCAGTTCGCTCATTATTCTGTACATATTTTCCTCAGTTTCTAAAATGAAGGACAGTGGACCTGAATATATACTTAAAAAATCTAAGATTTCTTTTAGCATAAGGTTAACTGCATTGTTGAGTTTAACAATTATCTAAATAAAACCATGCCGATAAAATCAACAAATCTGCAGATTGTCTGTGCTCATTTGACACTACTGGGCACCTAATTAAACATATAGGGAAATTTTGTATGTGTGAAGCATTGTGTTATGGGCTTGTTCATATATGCTTACATTAAACCTTAAAATAAATCTATTAGAACAACTCTTATAATCATTTAACAGAAAGTACTGAGAAGTTAAGCATCCTGGTCAAAGACTAGAGAAGACTGAAGTTGGATCAATAACTTCTAGGGTCAATCTGACTCTATAGCACTTAAATACTCTATTAGTGGTCTATGGGGGAAATTTTATAAATCTTCCCCACAGTATCACTACTATCAGTACTCATTAACAAGGGCTGTGGGATAGATTAGAATTACTTTCCATGTGTAAAACATGTAATGATCATGAGTTAAATTTACTGAAACATGGAAATGTCATTACTTCACAACTAACATAAAATAGACTATCATAATACTGTTACATTCTCTTAGTTTACTTAAAATTTGTTGAAAAACAATAATAATGTATATTTATAGAAAATGTTCATTATGATGCTGACTTTCACTTAATATTTATTCAATAGTTTTTTAATGATGAATGGAAAACATATTGGTATATATTGGTATATGGTTTTATCTGTACAATATTTAAATAATCACAAGTGTATATAAAAAGAAAGTATACAAAGGCTAAATTGTTCTCCTGGACATCCAATTTGTAAATAGCGAAATCAGCTAAATCAGTTAAATAGTAAAATCAGCTCAGTTTGTGAGCCTCACTCAAAATGATACATTTATAATGCTAGCTGCCACATATAATGACTTTTCTTGGTGGTCCTCAAACTATTGTCTCTGAGCCATTTGCACAGAAATTAAATGTTTATTTAACATGCAGATCCCTGTGCCACCATAACACTTGCTAAATCAAATCAATCTCTTCTCTCTCTCTCTCTCTTTCACACACGCATACACACACAAACAGTGAATCATATTCATACTAACTTTTGAGAACCACCTGAAAACACACATAACAGAAAGATGTTTCCTTGATTCTGTACTGTATTGTCATAGAAGTATTTTATTATTATTATTATTATTTATTATTATTATTTTAATTGAAGTCACCAAGACTGGAGTGCAGTGGCACAATCTCGGCTCACTACAACCTCTTCTTTCTGGATTCAAGCAATGCTCTCACCTCAGCCTCCCAAATAGCTGGGATTAGAGGCCTGCAACTACACACCTGGCTAGTTTTTGTATTTTTAGTAGAGATGGGGCTTCACCATGTTTGCCAGGCTCGTCTTGAACTACTGGCCTCAAGTATTCCACCCACCTCAGTCTCCCAAAGTGCTGGAATTACAGATGTGAGCCACCACGCCCAGCCTGTCATGGAAGTCTTCTAAGTCTACTCTGAATGTATTAAAAGTAAATGTTAGAGAGATTATGATATAATGAGGATTTTTTCACTGACTTTCATGGTCACATATAGGTACATTGGTTAAAAGAAAATACATGTGGGCTGGGTGCGGTGGCTCACACCTATAATCCCAGCACTTTGGGAGGCCAAAGCGGGTGGATCATGAGGTCAAGAGATTGAGACCATCCTGGTCAACATGGTGAAATCCCGTCTCTACTAAAAAGACAAAAATTAGCTGGCCATGGTGGCGCACACCTGTAGTCCCAGCTACTCTGGAGGCTGAGGCAGGAGAATTGCTTGAACCCAGGAGGCGGAGGTTGCGGTGAGCCGAGATCGTGCCATTGCACTCCAGCCTGGGTAAAAAAAGTGAAACTCCATCTCAAAAAAAAAAAAAAAAAAAAAAAGAAAGAAAGAAAGAAAATACATGTGAAGCATAGCACACAGCAACTGCTCAATACATTTTAAGGTGACCATTTAAATGTCAGTTTATACTGATTTTTTACAAACAGTGTAAACACATCATCTCCACTGGAGTCAAAAGATTTCAAGAAAAACTAAACAGGAGAAGAAAAAGAGGAATGTAGTCTCTCGACCTTCACAAAGCCTCGCAAGACCTCTAAGAAGGGCAAGAAATGACCAGAAAGCCGAGGCACAGTAATTCTCCAGTCTGCTGTCGCATCCCAAGCATGTTGCATTTCCTCATAACTTGGAGCTTTGATTCTAACTCTAAAGTTATTGGTGGGAGTGTGGAGGGAAAGCAAACAAATCTTCCGTGCTTAATTTTTAACTGTCACTTGTCTGCTGACACTTGTCTGTCATTCAACTGTACTCTCCAAATGACCTCAAGCCCCCACAGACAAGAGGGAATAAACAAAACAGATCAGAAGAGGTATGCACAAAGGGGTCAGGGGCACATTTTCCTTGGAGAAGAGAATTCAGAGCTAAGAATTCTACAGGACTGCTGTGGACAAAGCAGGAGCTTACCAGGATCAGAGAGGCACTTCTAAAGCACATGCCAGGAATAATCAATGTGGCCACCTGCCAGGCAAGGAAACTGCAAGAAAACAAAGGGCAATTCATCCACACCTCCACAGGTAGGAAATTAGCCTCAAATGTAGCCCATTTTAGTCTAAGGAACAAATCAGCTGCACCTCCCCACCCCAAACACTGCCTTATGAAAGTATGGAACAGAGTGGTGACTGCATGCATTTTCCTCCCTATTTTAAGAAAATCCCCTCTTCAAAGCTAGTAAAAAAATGGGATTGTAAGAAAACTAAGAAATACAAAGGATGCCTTTGTTGTTCAGCACACTGTTTATACCAGATATCATGAAGCTTTGCATTCAAAACCCAGTCGTAATGGAGTGCCACAGTAGAATGGGTACAGTGAATGTAACCACCATGAATGTTGGCAGATTATTATACAAAGGGCAGTTATCCCACAGAGAGGGCTGGCAGGTTGACAGAGGACCAACAAACGAATAAACTGAAAGGCATAATGAGACCCATTTCCACCCTCACACCACCCTACCCCTCACACGCTGAGGAAAACAAGCCACCAAACTAACCTGTAACCTCCATGCTCTTGACTTTGCTTTTTAGAGAGGAAAAGCACAAACAGATAGGCCTTCTCAAGGCAGTACAGTACTCTTCAGAGAATGAAACTTTCACAAAGGAGCAAAGACTTAGCTTCACAGACCTTCCAGGACTGCACGGACTCCCACAACATAGGAAGATATTTTCAATCCATACGGAGCATGGGTAACAACCAAATCATTGCTCAGGTCCAAATCAGTTATGAAATGAAAAAGGAAAACAGCCAGCCACCCCAATCCATTTTCCCACAAGAGAATTTTTCGAGAGGTTTCGGAGGAAGCTAATTGGATTTGACTGACAACTTGAAAATAGGGATATGTACAGTTTGTGTAGTCTCCCACTGATCTGAATATAATTTACAGTATTTTTAAAGCAATTTCAGTATTTTATATGATTCATTTTATATGCAATAAATAAGTACAGATAGAATATCTAATAGAGTCTTTGTTCTCTATCCAACACCTTTTCTACATATATAAGACTTCCTTAGTTTTCTATCAACATGTTCATAATAAATAAAACTCGAATTATCAGTGAAATGAATTTTTTAAAATTATGAGATCACAGCTTCAAATAGTTAGGTGTAAACAGTACTTAAATGAAAACGTCTTTTCTCCTACAAGACAATGATACACTGGGTTACAATATAAAAGTCACTTAAGCGTTTAAAGAAAAGAGTTTATAGGAATAACTATTTCTCAAAACCCTGAAATTTAGGAGCTAGATGCAGCTCTTTTCACACAGATACACCAAATTTGTCTTTCCACTTCACCACATGAATTGTCCTAGAGATACATAAACTGCAGGTACCCTGATATATATTTATGCCTATTTCCTCAAATCATCGGCCAATCTTTGCCCTGACAGCTATGACTGTCAAATCTCTTCCTTTTTGTGCTGGCTAAATTGCTCTAAGTAAAAAAGAAACTGACATTCTACTCTTAAAAAATGAAGCTTTTGACATTTCAGGATGTTAATAGATGGATAAACTGTATAACAGGAACATCAGTCCTGAAAGAGAATTTGACCTGAATAGCCACGCACTGCACTCATGCATTTATAATCGTGCTAGCAAATGAATGAGAAAAGATGAAGTGGAACCATTTTTCAAGAGGCATGCTGTGATTTCTCATTACAGGGATAATCTTAAACAGTAATGATATTTCTTTAAAAACTGAATAATCTTAAGAGTAAAACAGAACGAAAAGAAATCTATGCTTTAAATCCAAGTTTTCTAGGTATCCCCCATGTAAGTAATACAAGCACATTCTCATAACCCCAGAAATGAATTCTCCTTAAAGATGAGGATTGAATAAATTTCTTTTCTTCAAACAAAAAAATAGAAAACTAGCAATTCACTGGACATTTGATTAGTTTCTAATAAACCAGTTCTATTATTTTAAGCAAGCTCTTCCAAGAAAAAGCAGAAATCATTCTGCCTTTCTGTTGATAAAAACAATTCATTTGTAAGCGAGTTTTTAAAAGAGTTATGAATTCACTTCATATGGATTATAGTTATTCTTTTGTTTCATGAGGAAGCAGATATTTTACCTTCAACATAAATATTGGTAAAATTTTATTCAATGTCATGGTAAGATACAATTGAAGACTAGATGTTATCCCCATTTAACCTATTAGGATGACAGATCTCTTCCTAAATCCAACTTGATGAATAGAAAAATCCCACCAAAACTGTCTCACATATATAACTCAATTGAATTTGAAAAAGACATATTTTATAGTCTTGCCTAGTTAAGTCTTTAAAAAAATACATATTATATAATTTTTTTTCAGGTTTTATGTTCCTAACCCAAAAAAGATATTAACATCATAAAACCGAATTGGAAACATAGCTACAGAAGTTTTCCAGCATCCTAAAGTATGGCTAGAGAAATCTTACTTTGAAGACACATTTTCTATACCTGTGGGAACTGATCAGAGTTTGTATCAGAAAAGGAAGGTTTCCCCAGACAACACTTAGCCATGGTTTTCTTTTGATAGTCATCACTCTGGATCCTCCTTTACATTTAAAATTCTTCCTTTCATTTTCATTTCCTATTAAATATACCCTTTAAACTTTGCTAAAAGTAACTAATATCTCTCCACCACAACACAGAATTTGAGTTTCTTTATAGGGTTCACCAGATGGAGGGGAGCAATTTACAAAATGCTCCCAGGGTAGATCCTCATATCAAATACCCTAGTAAATCTTTTCTAACCCTTGGATAGAGGGGAAAAATATAATAATTAACGCATACTATGAAAAACATTTTTTTTTTAATTTTGGCTGGGCATGGTGGTTCATGCCTATAATCCCAGCACTCTGGAAGGCCGAGGTGGGGGGATCATATGAGGCCAGGAGTTCAAGAACAGCCTAGCCAACATGGCAAAACCCCGTCTTTACTAAAAATGCAAAAAGTAACCAAGCGTAGTGGTACACATCTGTAATCTCAGCTATTCGGGGACACCAAGGCATGGACTTGCTTGGATTGGGGAGGCAGAGGTTGCAATGAGCCAAGATCACTGCACTTCAGCCTGGGCAGCAGAATGAGACTGTCTCAAAAAAAAAAAAAAAATGCAGGCAAGGCACAGTGGCTGATGCCTATAATTCTAGCACTTTGGGAAGCCGAGGCAAAAAGATCACTTGAGTCCAGGAGTTTGAGAGCAGCCTGAGCAACATAGTGAGAATCCTTCTCTACAAAATAAATAAATAAATAAACTGCTGGACATGGTGGCACATGCCTGGAGTCTCAGCTACTCCAGAGGCTGAGGCAGGAGGATAGCTTGAGGCCAGCAGCTCAAGGCCCAATCAAGGCTACAGTAAGCCACGATAGTGCCCTGCATTCCAGCCTGGGCAGCAGAGTGAGATTCTGTCAAAAAAAAAAAAAAAAAAAACAAACCCTGCAAATGAAATTGTATTATATTAATAAAAAGGGTGTTTTGGTAATACTAAGATTAAGAAATGCCATAAAATTAAAAATTTAAATTTGAACAACATGTGCAGAATAAATACAACACCATATAAGTGATACACCACACTTCAATTAAGGTGGTTTTTAATTTAGCACATTCTTAGGATATTATATTACTGCATATATTTTGTGATATTTTACATGTACACTGAACAATAGAACACGAAATAATACAGGATCTCATTCGTTTATAAAAATTCTAGTGTTCCAATAATGTCCCCTGAGTCATTATGGCTCTTTGTTGTAAAACCTTATATAATATAGCTATTTTATAATGAAGATATTAGTTTTATCAGCAATGCCAGCATTATTTACACCAGAATTAAAATCTTCCAATGTATCTTTTTCATTTACTTTACAAAGAGTCCAAAGAAAATAAATTTTTTTTCTTTCTTTTTTGTGTGTTAAGGTTTTTAGCTTACACACCCTGAAGAAAATAAATTTTTAACAAGTATTTTTACGTGCTTACAACTTAAACTCAAAAAAAGCCATTTTTATCTGTAGTATATTGGTAAGGAGAGAGATTTTTAAGTTAAGACAGACATACACACATTGCCTCATTTCCCTGAAACAGAGGAAATAAATATCATCATTATACTTCTCTGTAACGTATACTATTTATCACATGGGTGAGAAGTCCACCCAGTAATGGAATATGTATTCTTTCACCATGCCGTCACCATGCCAGCAACCCAATCGTCAGAACCTTCAGAGACAGTAAATTCCTTAACCTTGGCCTAACATATAAGTGTATTTTTTTCAAGACAGAATATTCAAGCTTAAGGTGATGGCTTTATTTTCATTGAGGTTTAGTTTATACACATTTTTTCAGTTAAAATTAATTGTACAAGAAGGATACAAGACATGCTATTTAGAAACAGAATTATGAAATACTTTTATTTTCCTCAATCCTATATATAAGTAGATATATTTATTCATAAGCTAAAAGCAAATTCAAATATCTATATGTACACCAAACAGCACAACACTAAATAAAACATAATCTCAATCGTTTATAAGAATTCAAACTGTCCAGAGCTCCAATTGTGTGCCCTGAGTCATTATGGCTCTTTGTGGTAAAGCCTTATAAAACACAGCTATTTTATATGAAAGATATTACATAGTATATTATATATATATACATATATATGTATATATATATGTATATATATGTATATATATATGTGTATATATATATGTATATATATATATATATTTGAGTTTGCTAAATATATATTTCCCATTATAATATATATGATATACATACAAATACGTATGCTATATATATCATATTAGGAAAGAACACCTCTCTAATTTAAATGATTTTGTTTTTTTTGGTCTTTCAACCTCTAACCCTTTACTTACCTGAACTAATCTTTCCATTGTCCATTTTGATCAATAGCATTGACCAGAAAATATCCTTGTACTTGATAGAAACATTAAAATCTTAATTATCAACAAAACATCATCTCACTTTCTGTATTGTACTAGTATTTTAGAGAAAAAGATAAATCATAAGAAAACACATTGAAATTATTATTAATAAAATACTGTTACCAGCATCAGTCCTGGACTCAGGAGACATATAACCTAAAATTATCATTACGAACTTCACATTACAAAAAGCGATCCTCAGGCATTATAAGCCTGTATCAAAGAAGATATATCATTTTTATTGCATCCACCTTACAAATAAATGTGCTAAAACATTTTAGGAATATTTGTAATAGAACTGAAAATGGAAGTAACTAGTTTACACTTTATAAATTTCAAGCTCCCTTCACTCAGAACACTTAACTATCCAAGAAATCAATTTCTGAGTGATTTCTGATACTTCTGAATATCAAAAATTTGCATTCTTAATAGTAACACAGGCCCACTAAGGCTTTTCTCTTCAGAATTTAGTTAGGACATAGTTTGTTTTCAAGTCAATTTGTGATGGTAGTACAAAATATAAATAGAAGTCACTAATAAATCCCCAAAAGTTCTCTCTTAGTCATAGGTATTAATTCTTGTTCCTAACTTTTCTTTCAAGTTACATGTTATTACCTCCTACATTTGACGAAATTGAATATTTAAAGCAAATAATTTAAATTTTTTTTGGAATGACACCTTTGGAGAAACTAAATTTTAACAAAAAGCTAGCCTTTTGCCACTTGTCCACTCCTATAGTAGAGTGACTGTAGCCACTTTTCTCATTGTTAGTACAATTAAAGGGTTTCAGAATTTGTGCTCTTATTTCCTCAAATGTGGAGATTTATAAAACTGGCTTACATGATTATGGATGCCAAAAGGTCCCATAATCTGCTGCTTTACGCAAGCTGGATAACTGCGAGAGCTGCAGATACAGTTTCAGTCTAAACCCAAAGGCCTGAGAACCAGGGGATCCAATGTCTGACAGGAGAAGATGAATGTCCCAAGCTAAAAAGAGTTAATTTGCTCTTCCTCTACCTTTTTATTCTATTTGAGCTCTCAACGAAATTGGATCATGCTCACCACACTGCTCAGGGCAATCTTCTTGACTCGGTCTATCAATTCAAATGTTAATCTCTTCTGGAGATATCCTCCCAAACACACCTAGAAATAACGTTTGATCAGCTATCTCTGCATCCCATATCCAAGTCAAGTAAATACATAAAATTAACTATCAATCATATTTGCCAAATAATACATTTCTCCTTAAAATTTGGAAATAAAAAAGAAAACCTTAATCATTCTTAAGTTGTGAGGTCATGTAGGAGTGGAGCAGGCATTTTCCAGCATATGCACAATGCAAAGGTAACTAGGAATCTTACTAAAAAGACAACCAGACAGATACCAAAGAGGAGCTAAGCCAAAAGAATGTGCCAAAGTGATTGCCATTTACTTCCTGATTCCAGGCCCTCAAGTAGGCCCAATTTCATGGCTTAGCCTTAGGCTCTCTAAGGTGTAGACGTCTGTACCCTACTAACACTCCTACTTGCTCATACAACTCAAATCATTCTTTTCTGACACTAATCTTTGAATAAGACAGTTATTTCACAGCATTGTTTATATTAAACACTCCATATGTCCACCAGCAGGAAATCAGTTAAATATCTAAATCCTATGCAATCATAAAAAGGCAACACAAAAACTGTATACTGTATTCATTATCTTAGAAAATGGTGATGACATACTGTTGAGTAAAAAACGTAGTTTATAGAACATCAATTTAGTATATGTGCACGGCACAGAAAGATATCTGGAAGGATAGAGAAAAATTTAACAAAATTTATTTTTGTGTAGCTGCCAGGTGACTTTATTCTTTCTCTTTATATTTTTCTGTACTGGTGGCAATATTTTAATTGAGCATCTATCATTTTTTATAAATTAAAAATTTAAATTTCTACATTTAAAAATAAACTTGAAGAGAAATTTTAAAAAAGAAAGTTGAGTGGCAACTTCAAAGGACTGACTTTTGATCTCAAACAAAGGATGGTTTGATCTCTACAGGAAGAATTATTTGGCATCACTATCTGCTTCCAAGAGCAAGAACAAGAAATAATACAATACTGTTGATTTAAGTTTTTATTAACGAACTAAATATGTCTTTTTTTCAATTATAAATCTTGTTTTACTCTATAAAGTTACTTGAAACTACATCAGTAAGACTTGTAAGACTAGAGAAATATTTTTACTTAAATGGTAGAATTATAGCTTTTAAATACGCATCCTTTCATCTAGCTGCTCAGGAGGAAGAGGGAAAAAAATCAATAACACCAGACCCTCATGTCTGATCAATTTAGCTCTTTTTGTTGAGCAACTAATTCCTATGGCACACATCCAAAGCATACAAATTTCAGGCCCCTTGACAGTCCTTTCAACCAGGTCAGTCCTAACAGAGAGAATAATCAAGTCTCCCATGATGAATTTCATTCACACAGCAGAACTGATTACAGAGCAGATCGAATCACTGCACACTATTGACTGGAGATCAATTTTCAGCTTGAGGGACTATGGAAAACAGTGCACAACAAGGCAGGCACAGGAATAGGAGAATTCAATAAATAAACCAAGCCAAATGAGACAATGAGACCCTCTTAGTATAAAAAGAGGCCAATTGTATCATCTAACATTCCTAATATATTATTCTAGAAAATACTCTACTTTGAAAATTAAATAACTTGAAATATGCAAGTAAAGTTTTATCTGAAGCTTCTTTGGACCTGTTCGACATAGCTCAAATTAATGGTTATTAAAAGTTAAACTAAACAAATAAATATGTTTAAAAATCTATACTTGCAGCTATCTTCTCTTGTAATAGGTAGAAGTCTCTTTGTC